GACTTCAGTCTCTGAACTCGCAAAGTTTTTTTTTTAGTTTTCGCTGCCATTTTTCATGAATGGACACTTCCTTGTAGCTGAGGCAGGAAACAGCCTTATGTGGTGTTTTTAGGGTGGTAATTATGCTAATCTCTCATGTGCACGAGCAGCTGGACACGAACAGGTGGAATTTACGCAGCTCATTTACACACTTTTCAGGAAGATAGAAGAGTTTGTTGAATCTGACGTGGCATGTTCGTACGAACCCTTTGTACGAACAAAAGTAAGACAAATTTAGGATAAGAATACGAACATGTTCTTGCATGAGGCCCATTGGTCCTTCCTGGTACCTCTCCCTTACACCAAACATGCCCATCATTTCCTCACCTCTTTGGTTTCCTACACCAATATGTTCATTTAAGTTTCTCATTTCAACTTTCTCCTCCCTGAAATCCTCTCTGCCACTTTATCTAAATTCTTACAGAATGTCTCTTTCTCCTCTACCTCATGTCCAACTTGTAGAGCATAACCCCTGACACCATTCAACATCAGACCTTCTACTTCAGACACRTCACTCTGACGCTTTATTCACCTCTACTACATTCCTTTCAAATGCCTTCAGGACCACCAGTATTTCATTTATCTTCCCATTCACACCATGGTAAAACAGCTTAAACCCTGCCCCGATGCTGCGACCCTTGCTGCCCTTCCATTTGGACTCATAATACATCTACCTACTCTGCATCATGTCAGCCAATTCTCCACCTTTGTCTGTCATCCCTACGTTTAAAGCTACTACTCTCAAGGGCCCAGCATGGTTGACTGGAAGCCCACTASCCAGCTCCCAGTCACATGGTGGCGGGAGGTTTGTATTCACACACACAGTTCTGCTTGAGTCCACACTCCAAAAGTGCCACACTTTTCAGCAGATTAATTACACCTGATATCTGTGTCCTTTCCATGCATGCATTTTTGGACGCATCTTTATAAGTTTCTGTTTGCGGTTACAATAGTCGTATTGTGGAAGTGGAGTAGTTGAAGAAAATGCTGTCCAAGAGCTTTTCAGCATAAACAATCACGCCCATGAACTTCTGACCAATCACACAATTTTTTGCACGCTTGAGGAGGCTGTTGGCAGCTGTGGTGTAGTGGTAGAGYAGCCGACTTGGGACCAGAAAGTCACAGTTCGACTCTCCGCCCTGCCCACATGTCGTGGTGTCCTTGAGCAAGACACCCAACCCCCAACTGCTCCCCGGGCGCTTACATAGCTGCTGAAGGGTCAAATGCAGACCACAAATTTAATCACTGATGACAAATAAAGTACCTTTACCAAAAGTTTGTCCTCTGACATGTGGAAGGAAAAGACAGGTGACACAAGAACAAAATGAATCGATTTTYGCCACGCAACTACATCAATGAGAGCAGATTTCACAGGTTCGGATGGACCATGCAGAGACCTTCTGACACTCTGAACTTTACTTTTCTGTCTCTGTCTTCTGACACATTTCCCTCTTCAAGGTCTTCCAAGTTACTTGAATTTTGAGCATGTTCRATAAACTTCCACTCATTATAGACATGCTGTGCTGAACCAATCTTAACTTGTTTAATGGAACTCATACCATCAAAATTTTCTCCAGGAGCAAAACCAAAATTATTTTCATGACATGTTTCTTTAAAAAAAATACCATCTTTTCGACACTGAAAAAAAAGTTTGGTTTAAATGGGTTACAAAGGTCTGCCCTTGTTTTAAAATATAGGAACATTTCTAGGAGTAGTCCTGCATAGATCAGTTTACGATTTAAGAGTCACCCTTCAAAATCTAGTTAATGTTTGCATGGAAATTGCTTTATAAGCTTCTTCCAGTGTGA